AATCTCGCGTTAAATTATTGAGCCGCTTCTTTGGTAACTTCGATAAAAGCTGCCTTTTAATTAGCAAACGGACATCCTTCGTGGCTCGCGGAATACGCGGCCGAAGACCACGCGCGCGGCGGACGTATGAGAATTAATAACCACTAACGAGGTAATGTCACTCTTTCAGGGATAATGGCTCGAAGAATGGAGGGGCCATAAAAACGGAATAAATGAGAAGATTGAGGGTGAAATCTGTATGGAGGGAGTACCGCGCGCATATGCAGCTATTCGATACGGTTTCGATACGGTGCGACGGGAAAGATTTATGCGATTCCCGGCGTGCACTTACGCGGCTGAAATTACGCGGCCCTCCTGTGTGATCTCGGTTTCAAGCACGCCCGCAGAGGAGATATTTGATCGACACGGTGTTGCAGTTCCCGGCGCCGTAATTACGTATCACGGGGAACGTCGTAATGAACTGCGAAGCCGAGAAAAATGCGTCCGCGTTACCTCGCGGGGGTATATTAAAATTACACGGAAACTTCCGTTTCGTTTATTAACGTTTCCAATGGAAAGTGAGGCGAGCTTTCGGAGCGATTAAACGCTCGTTAGCTCTAGCGATGGAAGCGTGCGATAAAATTGTTCGATGGCATTGGCAAATTGGCCCCAGCGGACGGGGAGCAGTTAAAAAAAGATTTTCGAAAGGTAAATTACGGGAGATTTTACAAATATACGGGTCACGAAGGAAACATCGCGTAGGCCAACGAAACGATTCCGAAATCTCATCTTGACGCCTGCGCGAAGGTACCTCGCGGAAGAATGAAACCGTAAATAATAATAGTCACTTGCCCGGAGTACCCTACAATTTACACTTGTTCCTCGGGATCCGTAAAACAAATTCTCGCAGTAGCATCAACTTTAGGATTAATAAAAGTAGAAAAGTATCCAGTGATTTACGACGAGGAAGTGTATCCCGCGCCGGACGACTTAACTCGCTGCATTTCGTTCCACGGCGAGCGTATTTCAGCCCCGACTGCTTTTTACCATCGAGCCAAGGAGTCTTTTATTTCTAATGATACACGCGAGCGCGCCGCGTACACCCGCGGGCGGACTCGTGGAACTAAGAATAGTTCCCGTGCTTTGTTATTGACGCGGCATGATTGAAACGCGGGGCTATAATTTCCGTTTCTATCTATCTGTAAACACGGACGAGATACAGCGGGGCGCGCAGATGTCAAAGTAGACGCAGCTGTGACCCCGCCGGAAAACTCGTATTTATTATCGGATCTCTACAATTACTCGTCGATCCACCTAGAGTCTGATAAGTATTGTTTCTCCAGCTGAAATAAAGAAAGGAATTGCGAGCGAGCTCTGAGAAACTGCGGATATTGCTCCCGGCCGAACTTGAAACGTACCTGATACACGCTGATCGTCTTAAATACTTAAATACTTAAATATTTGTCGAAACATCTGGGCGAAAATAGTCATTTTGCATTGTCTGCAGTGAAAACTGATTCGAAAATTTTCATCGTACAATCTCGCGCGGTTACTCTCTTCACATTCGCCGATCTTACGATAGGAAAATATTCGCTCGTCGAGTCCCCATTAATGTAAAAGAGAGAACATCCCCGTGTAAAAGTGTTTACCAGCGGAATTATGAAGAAACGATAATGAGCGTGTTGCGATAACGGGGCAGATAATGAGAAAGCCGGCGTAAGCTTTGGCTTGCGAGGTCGTTTATCCGCGAATACACAGGATTTAAATCCTCTCGCATTACGGAAGATGGCGAGCGTACCGCTCCGAAACGGGTCGACGGTCGGCCACGTAGCCGGAAAAGACGAAGAGAACTTTTTCCAGCGTATAATTATCAACGATACAACCCTTCGCCCCTTGGAACTTCGGCTGGAAGCTAAACGATAACCCAGGAACGATGAAATGAAAGCAACAAACGAGGAAGTCCTTTTAATCTCACCGCGAAATCTTCTCTGCTTAATGTCTGGTTTCCATGGCAGGCCAAGTTCGTCGGATGATTAGCGAGCTTTGTGCATTCTTTCCGCGACGATTATGAATGCAAATGGGAGAGGGATCAAGCGGCGAACAACGTCGCGAGATAACAAGTATCCGCTGTCGGGTCGCGCGACGTAATAGAACACCCCCGTTACTTCCTATCTCATTAAGATTCTATTGGAAATCGTTACACGTTAGCCGGGCGCCAATGTTCTTTTCCCCCGTGAAATGTAATTCCCGTCCGATCGTGTATCTTCAATCAAGCGAATCTCCCCCGATTTTCGTCGAGCTTCCGCGGAGCCCAAGGTCGCTGCTTCATTTTTTATTAACAAAGAAGATACGAAGGGAACCGATCGCAGATGAAAACCACCGGTCACGGAGCGTGCAGCTCCTGTCTGATATCGGAACGCATCCAATAGCGTAAGTTTCCTCAGACTTCGCCGGACGAACCGGGGATTTACCTTGCCTCCCGAAGTTTCGAGCTCTCTGAATATTTACAGACCATGTGTCGCTGCCGCGAAATTGCATGAACTTTTCAAATAAGCGGGACGGACGTGTAAATCATCCGCGGGCAGCTACCGCGCGCGGGGAAAAATTCCAAGTACGTCCCGGAAGCGGTCCGATCGAAAGCTCGTTAAAGGAATTCGCGACTCGGCTGTACCAGATTAATCCCCGGCATTCTCGCTGCCGTTTTCATTACGCCGTTAGCTTTTCTTCTGCGAATTTTTCACCCCTGACAGCGTAACCTCCGCCGATATTGAACCGTGGATGAAATTAAATGGAAAGATCGCGTCGTTCGGCTCGGTCACCAATGGGAATTCGATTCCTCGAGGAACCCGGGGTATTTGTAACGCCTTGTTTCATCCTTCGGGCATTAGTCCTCCTAAATTTTTATATCTCCGTAAAATATCCCTGGCATAAAGTCTCTATCGCGCGATTGAATAACTATGAGAAGTATTAATAGCCTGTACGAAACGGTAGGACGTAAAATCCGTCTGAAATGGAGACACTTCCAGTCCGGGGTCCACACGCACGGACACCGACACCTTTCCAGACGATTGCGCTTCTAGGTTAAGTAATCTTCATTCTCAAATATAGAAACATCGATATTCAAGAATATTGAAGGTGGTTAACGAAACAATGATCATTTCTACTTTCATAGATTCGTTGTGCAATTCTTGCGCGAGGCTATATCCGGCGGTCACGTGTATATCCGTCGCAATTTATTTTCCCCGGCTTAATTATTCTCCTCTAACCGTGCGCAACGTGAAAACTTCCAACCGCGTCTCGAAGGAACATTTTCTTTTTTTCCATAATGAGTGGCTAGAAGCAAAATTTATTTTTCAAAGAGCCGTGACACGGAGAGCGCCGTCGGATGGCGGAACAGCGGGGGTGGGAGGAGCGCCTTTTTCTCTTCGCGCGATCCTTTGATCTTTCAACGTCACGGTTAGGGCGTGCCGGTCTATCAAGAGCGTCGCGCGCAAATAAGAAACTTCTGATTCCCGGAAATATTCAGAAATCAAGCCGCGTGTATCGGGGAGCGCGCTCGCTGATCGAAACGCCGCCGCCGCTTCGGACCGAATTATTTCTCGGATTACTTTTTCCCGGCGCTACCCGGTCGTTTCTGTGACGAGGGTAAATCGAAACGGAGCCTTCTTCTCTCCACTTTCGCCGTAATATCTCCCCGGCGACTTTCGGGCGCGACCGATGAATCGCGCGTTTTCCCAAAAACGTTTCGCGATAATATCCGTCGCGCGGATAACGGACGATCACTCGATATTTCGTTGCACGCCATGTACCGTCCGACGTTTGGTCGAATCGCGTGAACGAAAATCGCGAACGACACGGAATATAACAAAGCGAGATAGAAATAAGAAGTTTGACGTCCATGTTCTGTCGTTTTCTGTCGTTGTATCTCACTTTGTCGTATCATGTATCATTTGCGATCTTCGTTTACGCGACTCTCGACCAATCATAAAAGTCGGGCGAAATCGAGGCGTCAACGTTTGTCGCGAGTGGACGCCTTTCTCTTGCACTGCTGTTTCAGTTTGGCACTCTGCTCCCTCAACGCGTTTGCAAGGCCCGCACATTTTTTAGCGTTCCAGAGATGGTACAATTTTTATATCCACTTTTTCGATTCAGATTTCTGAAATATTTTTAAATATTACTGCACGTTTCTTACACGTCTACTTGTTATATAGGATTTTTCACAGTTAATTATTATTTATTATATAAATAAAATCAGATCGTCGATACCTGCATATGAGAAAACAAAAGAGATACCTCGTATCCCGGTCATAAAGCTCGGTTTATTATATACGAGATATTTCCTGACTCGTACGCAATGTATCAACATTATTTCTACGTTGGATTTTATTCGCTCGCATGATTCAATAGAATTCATTGTTCGAGTCTTTTGTCAGATGATTAACTTTTCAGGAATCCCTTTTATATTCAAATCGTTTTCAATTCTGTGGGCAGGAACTTTACTGTAAAATTTTCCGTTCGCATCTGAACGGATCAATGTACGCCAGCGTTCGAGATGTTCCATGAAAATGGTCGGGGTAAAACAGTAATTTTGCGAGTTTTATACGGGAAACGTGGCAGATTGGATGTCCTGTTTAGAGAAACAACTTCTTCCGTCGAACACCAGGCGAGAAGCACAAGAGAAACGCGGCGAAGTAGAACAAAATACAAATACCGTGCACCTCGAACCCGTAGAGAAACTTCGAAATTTATCGACTTAATCGTCTCGGGGTAAGAAAGCGGTTGAGTCAAAGGAGGAGCAAACTTCTCTAAACAAATAGAAACTTTTGATTCTCAGCCAGCGGCGGGGGAACACGCAGAAACGTTTCATGTAATTGTAACATCGCCGAATTTTGTAAAAAGAACACTCGATATCCTTTCGGATGTTCCGCCAGGTTTCCAATCTATCGCGCAGCTTTTATTTAGCTTCTCGCGTGGTAAACTTCAGGTCGGAAAATTCGGTGAACCGTTTTGTTCAGACTTACCCTTAACTTAGACAGGAGCGAAAAATCGGTGACCGCCTTGAGCGTCACTTTGCCGAGGGAATGTTCTGCAACAGAAACCAAAAGGCGATTGAATAGATCAGTCTGGCCGGGCGGTATTGATCGGCGAACGAGAGAATTGACAACAGAATGCACGGTTCATCGGTTACTTTCGGCTCGGCATCGCGTAAATAATTGAACGCGGGCGAAAGCGTTTCGCGGATTCCATTTCGTTCGCGCAAACTGCCCCGTAAAAAAATGCGTCGGGGACAAAGAGAAGCTTTTCCCTCCATGTCGGTTATGAGGCCGAAGGGACCGGAAAACGGGCGATATCCAGTTTTTTTCCTATGTTACGCGGCTCGGCAAACAACGAAACAAAAAACTTTCTATTAAGAGGAACAAAGGGGGTCCGGCCGGGGTTCTATTCGCGAGTTATGTGTCCCGTAAGCGGCTTTCCGGCCCGGACGGTTTCAATTTAACTTCGCGCGCTGAATATTCGCGGGAAAAACCGGCCAGTGACTAACACCGGAACCCCTTCGATTCCGGAACGATTACAATGAAACCACCTGGCACGATCGGAACCAATAGATCGCAAAGCTGCTCGATCGAAACCACGGTTGCGGCCAAGTTTCGTGGTCGTCGCAAGTTTTTCTTGCTCGGATTGTATAACAGCGCCGGTCTCGCTGTGCAAGACGAAGCGTACGCCTAAGGAACGTGCGGAAAAACGAGCAGCTGTTCGTCTTTGAAACTAAAACGAAACCGCGACGTCGCGACGAAACTTCGGACGAAGTTCGATCGGTTAACGCCGCGGCGTGGGGCGGACGATAAGAAAAGCGAAGCCTTATTGGCCAGCGAAGGGGCTTGTCTATTCGTGATTTCTTCGTGGGCCGCTCGATCATCGAGAAATCTGATCGTTTGATACACTTATAGTTGAGCTCAAGGGACATTCGATTAAAGTTACTTTATTTCAACTTTCTCACTTGAAAACAACTTCCCCGAAATTCTTCTTAGATCGATCGTTAATTTCACTTTGACGAATCGGCGAGCGAACGTATTAGAATCGCAGGACCTTCGTTGAACGCTCGATTTCATCCATTTACAACCGAACGTTGGAATACCCAGTTAACTGCGAGTTATTCCGATTGAACCCCGTGAACGAATAGTCGAGGATATTGCGCCAACTTGCAAAGTACTCCGAATTTCACGGGTATATTAGTTGAACACGCTATGGCGAATACGTTTCAGGGTTTATTGATGGAGTCTGATTGAACGCAGGGTCACAAAGGCATGGCGTGCCTTCCGAGGATTCTCGTCGCACTAAATTCCCTAGGCCCTTCCTCGGCTGGTTCCACTGGCTGCGCCGAATGACGGACTGTTTTCAGCGAACGCGAGGCATTCATTTATTAAGCAAACCGACACACCGGAGAAGACAGATTTTACGAGGGTAATCTAGCCGCGTTCCAACCTAAAGGCTCGCGCACCTAGCCAGGTGTTTAATTATTCCGAAGACGTACGGTTGCACGCGCTTTACACGCCCTGCCCGTAGGACACCGGTATTATTTCTGCCTCGTTATGGCCACCGCCGCCGCTGTCCTTTGTTCGCCCCACAAAGATAAAATCAAGCGACTCCTCTGGCCAGATGTTAATTACGCCGACGAGATAAGAATGCGCGCTTACATTGAAAAGAACAGGCATAAATAATTCAGATAATCTGGGAAAGTGGATCGTACACTTTTTTCCACTCTTAATCCTGTTTAGAACAGGTCGACACTGACAGATGTTACCGGCTAACTTATGTGTCATCGACCTGTTAATCCTCGAATCATCTTGTACGAGAAGATGAATTATTTGTTTCCCTTCCGAGCGGCTAAGCGACTTTCACGAATGTTGTCACCGTCGGGGCGTTCACATTCCAACGGGAGTATTCAAATCTGGTAAACAGATGTCGCAATGGAAACCGTCTCGTCATATGGTTCCAGTTTGCGCGGCCAACGGGTGAGACGGGATAAAGGGCACGACGCTGGCATCCGTTTCATTTAATTCAGGCAGCCATCCAATTCACATCGGACGCAGGAACTTCCTAAACGAGAAAACAGTCGAGGAAGAGGATCGTGAGTGTGGATCCTGCATCTTTTATGGGCAATTCTTCACGCGATAAAAGTTCGGTCGTTTCCCAGCGGCGGTCCACCGACGTGGCACGCTGACGTAAATACGCTTTGGCCCATTTTCTCGACTGTAATCTAATCTGTTGGGAAAACTGCTCGTCATTTTCAATAAATCTTTCACACGCCGTCCTTAATTCGATCGTCGGCGCTGGGGGTGTGGAAAAGTTACGCCGTTCGCGGACTCACTGGATTCCAGCGACGCGCGGCTGTTAGAGAAACCCTTAAATCTCCTGAACGGGAGACCAAGACAATATCAGTGTACCGGCGGGGGTCCTGCCAATCGGCGATCCGCTGGCTAATCGAAAAACACGGTGTCCGTTCGGAAGGCATCGCCCGGATGATCGGGCGCGCGCGATTTCACAAAGCGACTAATAAGTGTGTTTCAATGAAAGATGAATCGATCAGACTTCACAGCGCAGCCAACGCTCTCGCCGGGGATGTTTGATCGTGCGAGCGCGTACATGATTAAACCGGAAAGTAGAGTGTAATCTCTACACTGTCTACGCTAAGTACAGCCGGCTCATTATGCATGCGCTGTGTATAATACAGTACGTAAGCACTATCGATTCTGAATCGCGGCCGAGTGAGGCAACTTCGACGGAGTTCATTAATAATTGTTTGAGCTCCATCAACTTTTGCGGAACGGTTCGTTGAATTTTCCAACGGCACCCGTTTAACGCGGACCCGCCTAGCCAACCCTCCGACTGCCATTCCACCCGTAGAATTTATTTTTCGCTGAATTCTCCGTTCTTCCGTATAAATTCATTTACAGAGACGATCGAACGAGCCGTCCGCGAAATTCTTTCGTGCATTCGCATCGCGGATTTACTAATCATCGATCACGGGTAGCAATCGGTTCACGATCGGCCACACGTAGTTTCGACTAATTTCGCGGCGCGTCACTTAGGCCCAGTCGATTTTCCAGGTAATTGATCATTCGAGAAGCGGCGACTATCGAAAAATAATTTGCCCGCTAATTAATTGGCCCCGTTTTTTCCTTTCGCATTCGCCGCGTGACGCGCGACCGACGGATTTCCCAACAAAAACGTGCCGGTCAGTTCCTTTCCCGCCGGTCTAATTAAGTTTATTCGAGTATAGGCATACCTAAATATCCATTCTAATAAATGCGATTACAGCTGGGATCTGATTCGGCTCGACAAAGCAGCTCGGACGGGGAGAAAGGAGAGCCGGCGACTGAAAAATACATTCAACATTTTCCACTTATTTCGTCACAGGGAAGACCGCCCTACCCTCAATTATGGCGGCTATTAAGGCCCGTCTTTGCGCGGGAGTGCTCGCCTTTTTCCTCCTCGGAGAGGCCGTTTCTTTCTTGGCCGCGCGAAAGGAGCCACCGGGCAAATTCCTCTTTCTTCTCCCGATTTGAAATGCGAAACATCTACGTGTTGGACGGCAAACGCCCGCCGCGCCGCCCGACTCCCGCCGCCGTCTTCCTTCCTTCCTTCGTAACCGGCATAATACGAATTAAATTATTTCTTAGACGAACGGGGGTGAAAGAGGTCAGGAGTGGGCGGTGGAAGGAGTCGGGGGAGACAAAAGAAATATCGCGGGAGGAACGAAACGTGGCAGAGAAGCGAACCGCCGGTAGCGGTTTTCGAGCGACGGGTCGGGTCGGGTCGGGCCGCGCCGCGCCGGGCCGGGTCGAGCCGGGTCGGCGCCAGCCAGATCGCACGGAGTGGGTACCGGCAACGACACCGGGAACACGGAAAAGAAGAAATGAAAGGAAGATAAAGCGGCGCGTTAAATCGGATACTTTATACGTGTAATAAGCAGGAGGAGAGCGTACTTATGCGCCGCGGGTGTTTCATGAGGCCCATAACCATCAGGTACCGGGAACGAAAGAAGCTTCTTTTGCTGTTTAGTTATTCGCCCAGCAGAACCGTGGCGTTTCTATTCGAGCATCCGCTGGATACACCCTTTGTGGGAATTCCTTGCAATTGTTTGCTCCATGGGTTTTCTGCGGAGCGCGGTAATGAAAGCAATGTCAGCGGGTTCGAAAGCCTATTGTTTCCTTAACCCTTCAGCCGCGTAGACACAGACGGATAAGTTTGGTACAGTCGCCGGCGACGAACGTGATAGGTAATTAAAGCCGGAAATATTTCATTGTAATTGAAATAGCCAAAGTGTTCCGTAACTTGTAAGTTTACATTCAACAGTCTGCGACGTCTCTTTCGACGAGGAGAGGATTCCTCGTACGAAATGCTAATACATCGCGATGCTCGACGTTACAGTAGCAAATTGATCGCGAGCGAGTATGCTGAAGCATCATAGAAATGTTGGAATTAATGCTCCAAGAGCATCGAGGAGAGTAACGAGAATAACCAGCGGACACGAAAGGAGTTCTGACTCCAACGAGACCGCAATCAGCGCGTCCCGCGTTATGGCGGAGCATCACGTGCTCTAAATGAATCAAAGCGAATAAAGATTACGAGCTTTTACGTGAAAGTGACTCTTTCATAGCCGCGTGTTTTCCGCCCGCGGCGAAAGCTCGCAATGAAAATCCCTCGTGTTCACCGTATCGCGGGCTACGATAATTTCAAGACACCCCATTGTCTTTGCGTTGATACGGACGGTAATTGATGGAATTTCCAGCCAGCCGGCAAAGAAGCGGGAGCAGAAATGCGCTCTTCCGGTTCTTTGAGCCGCGTCGCGCGAATACGTCCACGTACCGCGTATAATCTGCTGCCGTTTCGAGTACCGGTGCGGTGGAAACGTTCACGGGCAGGCTATCGCTACGGCTGTCGATGTGGCTCTTGTTTAGTCGGAACAGACTATAATACGTAAACGAGAGCGCCGCGCGATCTTCAGCGCGGAACACTATGCATCTCCCAACCCCCACGGATACAAATGGGCTTACGGATGCACCCGTAGTCGTTTCGCTGGCA